ATTTTTGTCTGTTTAAACACTATTTTTTATTTTAAAAATATTATTATATTTCAATTAACATGTGCATTAAGAAATTCATTTAAATATATGCTATCGATACTTTCGACTTTTTCTGAGGAATACGTACATGCCGGCTTCTCCGGCTGTTCTGGATCAGCCTATACATACTCGTTCAAAACTCGCAATTTTGTTTTAGTGCTACATGAAACTTCATAATATTATAAACCATATTATTATAAACTTTAAATAAACTTAAAATTTCTTGATGTCATTTTGACTCTTATATGACTATGTTCTGTTTGAGGAATTATCATCATTTCTACATAGCGAAAGTACTTAGGAAAATTAGTTGGAGTATTGTCTTACGTGTGTGACAAAAACGGTTACATAAAACGGTCAAAAATTTTATATAACTTTGTTAGGTTTTCCGTTATATGTAGTAATTGAGAATAGTGCACACACATCTTATTCATATATGAATAATTGTCTGTTTGGCCTACATAGATATCGAATAGTAACAGTCAGATTTAATAGTAATATATGGAGCAACTAATTATGTGGTTGCTGCAATCACACAGTACAATTGTTAAATGACTTGTTGTGTTGCGGCAGTAACGGTACCTGATTACTCCCACCAAACTTTCTTGATACTTCAACTAAAAATGTTTTATTAGAAATTGTACATCATTTGGTTGACTTAAATAAAATGTGTTGTTAGTATAAATATAAAATAAGTTGTCACCAAACGAAGCTCGAATCTGAAATCTTGCGTGTTATTTCAAATAGTAAAAGACTTTCTTGATCGTTTCTCAATTCGTTCTATAGCCTCACAATATTTGTGGATATTTTTCTGAGATATACTATATATCATATGGCAATATTGATGCATTATTATATTGCAATATTTCTGTAAGCGGACATTTTACTGCTGCTGCAATATCATAGCAAAGTTGCGATAACATTTCGTTATATCTCTGCAATGTTACAATCTTGCTTAAAAACTGCAATATTGCAACAATCTTTCAGTGTTGTAAAGATGAGTTATCAAATACTTTGTATATTCCTATGAGAATTTTAAATATTCCCTTAGAAACTTTCTTCCTGTGTTGTGTATAGCTGGGTTTTCATACACCATGTACCAGGTGTAGAAGTATGAAACCGGAATTTCCCTATAGGTGGTGCTAGCCATCAGTTTAGAGACCGTAAGACCGCTTCTGCAGCGCCATCATCTCCCTCTAACAGCTGACGAAGATTTTCAACACACAACAACCTAAGTTCCATACACCGGTATATTTTTCTATAATCTTAAACATATCGAGTTTTATGCCAACGAACTACGATTTGCGGACAGCATTGGTTTTTTGTTATCATTTGAAGAAAACTGCTGCAGAATCGCATCGAATGCTTGTCGAAGCTTACGGTGAACATGCTCTTGGTAAAACACAATGTTTCGAGTGGTTCAAAAAATTCAAAAGTGGTGATTTTGACGTGAGAAACGAAAAGCGTGGGACATCACCGAAAAAGTTCGCAGACAACGAATTGCAAGCCATATTGGATGAAGATGATACTCAAACTCAGAGACAGTTCTTTCACAAGAACTCGCGGATGAATTGAATGTGACCCAGAAAGCTGTCTCAATTCGTTTGAAAGCCATGGGAAAGATTCAGAAAGTGGGAAAATGGGTTTCGCATGAACTGAATGAAAGACAGCAAGAAAATCGAAAAACCACTTATGAAATGCTGCTCGACAGATACAAAAGAAAGTCATTTCTCCATCGTATCATGACGGGTGATGAAAAATGGATATATTTTGAGAATCCTAAGCGTCAGAAATCATGGGTGAATCCAGGCCAACTATCGACATCCACTGCAAGACCAAATCGCTTTGGAAAGGAAACAATGCTCTGTGTTTGGTGGGATCAGAAGGGTGTAATCTATTATGAGCTGCTAAAACCTGGTGAAACTGTTAACACTGATCGCTACCAATAGCAAATGATCGATTTAAATCGAGCATTGCGTGAAAAACGACCGGAATATGGAAAAATGCAACACAAAGTCATTTTGCTACATGATAATGCCCCATCACACACAGCAAAACGGGTCAGGGAAACGATCGAGGCTTTCAGTTGGGAAATACTAACGCATGCGGCTTATTCTCAAGACTTGGCTACCTCCGATTATCATCTATTTGCATCAATGGGACAGGCTCTCGCTGAACAACGCTTCAATTCGTGTGAAAATGTACGAAAGTGGCTCGATAGTGCGCTTCAAAAGAAGAAATGTTTTTTTGGCGTGGCATTCATAAACTGCCGGAGAGGTGGGAAAAATATATAAATAGCAATGGAGAATATTTTGAACAAAATATTTTTTATCATTTTCAAACAACAGACGTGTAATTTTCACGAAAATATTCCAGTTTCATATTTCTACACTTGGTATATTCCTTCATGGATTTCGAATATCGTATATGGATTCACATGAGTTCTTTTGGGCTCCATGAAAACACACCTGCAAATTTTCAACAGAATAGCATATACTACGTGACTATTACTCTATTGTAAAAACAGGAATAATACATACAATATTACATCCTTTCCGCTACCTAATTTAAATAAAATGAAGTTTTTGTATTAACGACTCATCGCGAATTTCAATCAAATAATCTATGTCATTGCTTCCACGAATACTAGGACATGATAATTGAGTAGGCTTCCGTCTTTGATCGCAGTAGCTCTAAATTATAATATTAGGATCGAGTAGAGATCGCTGATGTGGTGGATAAGGTGGATATTCAAACGCAGTTTATATGATTAACTTCCAGTCTTATCTTCTTAGGTGATATTAGTGTATTCTAACAGTGTACATCGACTGTCTGTGAAAAATGAAATTTTTGACTACAAAAATATGTTAATAAATAGACTTGCGCCTATCGTCGCAAAAATTTTAAATTATCATATTGGGAACGAATAAAGGTCGCCGGCATATATTAGTTATTAGAAATAGAAATGTGCGGTTCAATTCGATTCGAACGAATCCGAAACGCACATTTCTATTTCGAATAGCTAACATATGCCGACGACCTTTATTCGTTCCCAATATTATTATTTAAATTATTGCGACCATAGGCGCAAGTCTATTCAGTTAACGGACGCAAACGTAAAGTCTATTTTATGTTACAAGTAATGAGCGGCACGGTTTTACATTATGTACGTGGGTAGCTATTTATATTTCTGGCCTTGGTAGCAGTACGTGTTGCCAGGCGCCATCTGACGTTGTCATTGGAAACTTGACATTGTTGAACATAAGAACATAAGAACACATTGTCATTTGAGCGCGGTTTGTGTTGTTTACAGTGAATTGAAAAATTCATGTCGGGCAAAAAATGGAATTAACCTCGTGAACATTTTCGTGCGATTATTTTTCAAAACTTTCGACGTGGTTTATCAAGACAAGAGTGCATCGATGAACTTAATTTTTTATACAGCAAGAAAGCACCATCCTACAGCACTGTAAAAAATTGGTATAACGAATTCAATCGTGGCCGACGTTCGCTCCAGAACGAATTCCGTGAAGGTCGTCCAAAATCAGTTGTTGTGCCAGAAAATATCGATGCTGTGAGTGAACTGATAAAGCAAGATCGTCGTGTGACATACCGTGAGATTGAGGCATTTTTGGGCATTAGTAAGACAAACATCAATAAGATATTGCATGAATATTTGTCCGTAAAAAAACATTTGTACGCGTTGGATCCCGCATAATCTGAAAACGCTCAAAAGAAGACTCGTGTTGATTGGTGCAAAAAATTTTGAAAAAATACGTTGTAGGTGCATCAAAGGCTGTGTATAACATCTACACAGGTGACGAATCATGGATCTATGCATATGAGCCCGAAACAAAACAGCAATCGACTATATGGGTCTTCCAAGACGAGTCAAATCCAACAAAAGTTATTCGCGGAAGAAGCACATCGTAGAAAGTTGCCTGTTTCTTCGGCATTACTGGTCACGTGGCGACAGTGGCGTTAGAGCACCATAGGACGGTCAATTCTGAATGGTACACGACCATTTGTTTGCCAGAAGTCATCGGAGAAATTCGAGAAAAACAGAAGAATAAGGCGAATCATTCTTCATCGCGGCTCTCACACATCGGGTCAAACAAAGGAATTTTTGACCGGCCAAAACATCGAATTGATGGGTCATCCGCCGTACAGCCCTGATTTGGCACCCAATGACTTTTTTTGTTCCCGCTCATCAAAATTAAATTATGTGGTCAACGATTTTCGACACCCGAAGAAGCGGTTGATGCATTCAAAACGCATGTTTTGCAGTTACCTCAATCGGAGTGGAAAAAGTGCTTCGAAAATTGGTTCAAACGCATGCAAAAGTGTATTGATCATCATGGAGATTGTTTTGAAAAACAATAAAATCAATTTCGATCATAAATATTTGTTTTTTCATTGTTAGGCCAGAAATATAAGTAGCAACCCTCGTATTATGCGTGTATCAAATACAAGACATGCTTCTTCAGACTATCTATAGAGTTCGTCCCACAGAATCCTACGCACTCATTGGTTAATCCTTTTTTATCTCATTAAGTGTTGAGAGATTTCTACTTAGTTTAATAAGTTTCCCTACACACGAGCGTTTTAATACCTAAGTCATAAATATCCTGAATAAAAAATATAATGACTTCTGCCCACATGACGCAACAATAATTGCCATGTGGCGGAAGTACCTGCAGAAGCCTAAAAGTAGAACATATATTTATAAGAAATAAAAGTTTATTAGAGGCCAAGCGAACTGGCGCCACGTGACAAGCATTTCCGCGTTTCCTTTGCGCAGAAGCCATAAGGTTAAAATTGTACATAAATTTAACATACAAAGTATAAAAACTTAGCATACATTAGTTTTCATATGCAATTTATTCTCTATATCTTCCCCTCCATTTTTTGCTTAGTAGATATACCCGATCAGTACTACGATTCAATTTTCATTGCTAGGTGAAACTTCAAACCATACTGTTTTAAACTTTAAATATTTTAGGAGAGAGAAGTAACCAGAAAAAAAAGTTAGAATATTGTCCAGAATCTAAAAAACAAATAACGTTAGAAAGAGTTATTTGTTTTCTTAGATTCTGGACACTATTCTAATTCTTCTTTCTGATTAACATTACAGGATGAATTCTAACGGAAAATCTGTGCTCATCGACGTTGAGCCTGGAGATGAAATCGTAATTTCCGGGATTGCCGGTAGATTTCCTGATACTGATAACATGAAGCAGCTCCAAGAGAATTTATTTAAAAAAGTAGATCTTGGTTCGGATGACTGTCGACGTTGGCAACATGGTGAGGATTCTTTAAACGTTATCGAGAAAAAATCGATATATTGTATTTCAAATGAATTGACACGTTTTCCTCCTTATCTTCAATTTGCAGAACATCCAGACATACCAAAACGATCAGGAAAGGTTAATAATATCGAGAAATTTGATGCGGAATATTTTGATGTACCTTTCAACCAAGCCC